TCGGAGCTCCACGCATCCAGCATTTCCATCATTCCCTGGGGTCATGTAAAAAGCACTGGGTTGCGTTTAAGATACAAACAGACTGGTTTCCAAGAAGCTCTGCAAGTGGTCCCCGGGCAAAGAAAAGAACACAAAAACATGACTAGACCCCAGCTGGCTCTAGAGCCCCTGCCCCTGAACCCGGTACAATCAAGTATCCTTGAAGAGCCCCTTGTAGAACTTCACGTTGCTGGTGCGGAGCCCAAACGCGTCCTACAGCTGACGGGGTTTTAGCTTGTCATTTGCGGGGTTTTGGACTTCCTAGACTTACAGTGCTGAACTCCGACGGGGATATGGTATGCGAACTTCATGCTTGAGAAATGCTCAGTTCATTGTTTCAATACAAGGGTGCCTGCAGATCTAAGGTCAGGCCTCTTAGTAGCGCTTCCAGCAGCAAGAAACTGAGAATGAACTTCGAGGCCGAGATTCGAAGTTGCGTTCAACTGTATCCTGGTCGACTGGAAGGATCCTTTTCTCATCTGAGTTTTAATTCCTTAGCTACGAGAATCCGGAAGCATTATTAAGCACGAGTCGTCCTTTGAGGGAGGCCTAACTAAAAAAAGGGCCCGAAGAGATGCGCGAAGTCTTAACTAAAACATCTTGAGGCTTGAGAGCTTAGGTGCGAAGGCGGGGTGTGACGATAAACTGTTGTTGTTGTTGTTGTTGCACACTCTGCAAGAGTCCGCGGACGCGCAAGTCAATTCGGAAACATGCAACCCCGCGCTCCGCGCTAGGTCGACTGCAAAAAGAGCTTCCTGTTCTGCGTCTTCCACTTGAATCCCTCACACAGGACCCAGTCAGAAGAGTCCACATCTTGAGCAGCGAACACGATGCTCAAAACATGCGCCCTTGGGTTCTCCGCGGCCAGAGCTGGTAGAACGCAATCAGCAGGATGGCAGTGAACCCACTTCCAAGCTTCCCGGACCCAGGACGCAAAATCAGGGTGCTCCGCGCAATCAAGTATCTCCCTGAGCTCACCTTGAAGTTTCAAATGTCTGGCATCAGCGCAGTCATGGATAGGGGGATCCGCCTCTTTTATCACGGGCGTCAAGCTCGCCCAGAATTTTTGCGGGCCTGCCACTTTGGTAGGCGATTTCCATGCCCTTTGCCTGCAGCAACCAACTTGCTCAAGTTCGGCCGACGGCCCCAAGTCAGCTGAAACATAACACGCAAAACACGGACGGCTGTGACGCACATGCTCTTTGAGTCTGTGGGTAGTCCAAAACTCAAGGCCACACTTCGCACACTGAGAACCGCCCACGCAAGAAAGCTCAGCACGTATTCCATGCCTCCTCGACATGTGTGAGTGCAGATTCGCTTTTGAAAGGAAGCATCTGTCACAATGCTCGCATGGCCGTGCGTCAGCACATGTTTTACTGAGCATGGGCAACACAATCCCGCCAGCTTGTTCAAACAATGCCATGTCACGAGCATGCATCACAACTCCTACAGCCTTTTCGCGAAACTGCTTTGTAAGTTGCCTGGTGTACAACTTCAGCGCACTACGGCACTGCACAACACGGCACAACAGGGACTCCAAGCACTGTTCAGCACCACAAGAAGGTTTCCACGGGACGCGTAACTCCTCCAGCACATGCCCAAGTGAATGCCATGCAGCAACAAGCCAACTGCCTTCCAAAATCGATCAAGAAATATGCTGACACACTTTTAACACTTGAGCCAAATGCAATGGTCAACTGCACTTATGAGGGACTGATAATTTCATCACCCCTCCTTCTGTACATGGCCAGCATTCGCTGGTTGGGTATACAGACACCTAGTCTACCAGGTGCTTGGCTCCTAAAGCTCTGCCTTCCACAAACCTTTGGTTCATGAATGGCATTAATCTTTCACAGCCTTCTCTACTCATGGGCTTTGTCATCAGGTCTGCAATGTTGCCTTGCGTATGAACCTTGTTAAGCAACACTTTCTTGTCAGATACCTTTTCCTGCAGCCACAGGAATCTGGTCTCGACATGTCTTTGTTTTCCAAGACCTTTGCGACTAGCTGTTTCAATAGCCGCAGTAGAGTCTGTTCGGACTTCCAGCTGTGCTGGGTATCCCCAGTCAGACAGTAAGGCTTGGATAGACATTCCAAGTGCGCAAGCCTTCGTGGCTGCGTAGTACTCCGACTCGCCTGAACTTAAAGCCGCGGAGGACTGCGTGTTACTGCTATGCTTGATGCAGTGTCTTCCGAACATCACGGCCAATCCCGTTGTCGATTGCCGGGTCAACAAACAACCAGCGTGATCTGAGTCACAGAAGACGGTGAGCTTCTGAGGTGTCTTTTGTGGCTCGAATCTCGTGATTACTCTCGGTAGCGTCCTAAACGCTTCAGATCAGACAGATCCTGCTCCGTCGGATTTTGCATCCGGCGCGTCAAGCACTTTACAGTTTCATTCAAGTCCGCCCTGTCCATCGACAGGAACTGTGCTCTCATTACCAGGCTACGGTAAAAAGTAGCACGCTCTCGACTAACTGCTGGCAGGCCGTTTGCTGCCAACACGTCCGTTAGCTTCTTCTTTTCATTCGGTGCGGCGATTACCCGGGCCGATTCCAGACCAAGCTGCCGTACAATCATCTCTGCGTGCCGTGGGTCGGCTTCAAAGCTGATTGTGCCATCCTTCTTGTCCAAGGTGATCATCCTATTCAACACGGTGAGGTGCGAGTCATCAGACTCGTCCATCCCCATGTATCCGTCGACGCGGAACTCGTAGCGTTTGTTGAGGACTTCCTTCATGAAACCTTGTCCGTCGTCATCGGCTAAAACGAAAAAGTCATCACCATGCACTAGCAGGGTCCGGTCTTCCCCGCTGTGGCTGAAAACTGCCGGCCACGCTTTGCCAGCTGTAAAGCTGTGGTCCGCGAGCAACTGACTGTAGTCAGACTGCCAAACGTGACTGGCATCCATTGCGCCGTACATGCTCTTTAGCAATAACGCACATTTGCCTTCTTCTTCGTCTCCAGGCGGAAGTGTAACGAAGATCCTTCTCTTCGCAACTCCGTAGAAGTGGGCACGACTATTGCCGTACAGAGCAAGCTTAAGTGGCTTTCCGCGCTTGCAGGTCTTCCTGGAAACTGCTAGGCTACAAAGTAGCTTCACGCCTCAAGAGGAGGCCTGGAGCTCGTGCTTTCGTGCACGGGCAATGCACCATGTTGCTTCTTGATTTCTCGAACAACAAGTCGACTGCATAGTTCTCCTTGACTTGATTTCCTTTGTTCCGGTCAACCCATTTCAGAGTGATGGGTTCTTTTCCCGTCTCGTTGTAGCACTCTTCGAGTGGCACCTTGGTGTAAACCTGAGCTTTGTGTACCCAGTCTAACTCTTCCCGTCTCGCTTTCAACACCTTGTCAAGTTCCAGCTGCACTCCGGTCACGGAGTCGTAAACAACTTCCTGGTCTTCCGTTTCAGGAAACCATCCTTCGTAGTACTCATCCTTGTTGTCTATACGCTCGTGCGGCATAGGTCCAGCGCCAACAGCGCTGAGGTGTTCATCGATCTCTCCGTCGATTTCCATCTGGGTTTTCAACCCGTTCACAATGGCATGCACCTGCAAAATGCTGTGCATCTTCTTTGGCCATCTTTCGACAACTTTCAACGGTCTCAACTTGTCGGCTATGCTTTTGCTGTTGGTGATCCATGTCACTGGTTTCTTCTGTAGCCGTTTTCTTCATGTAGCTTGCATTCTGCATGCACTTTGTAAACATTGTTCCCACTAAGGAACCTTTCAACCTTCTTTGTTTGCTTTCTGCTTTTGTCACCAACTTGCTCACGCAAGAAGCACTTGCCTCTTTCACTCTGCAAGGAGTAGAGGTCAACTGTAGCATCCAAGGTCTTGCTACTGTCACCAACCAGAAGGTAGGTGTTTTCCCTTACCAGAGTTGCCTGCAATGTTTGCAGGTCCTTCTCCAAGTTCCAAGCTTCTCCTGAACTTTTCTTTGCTTCCAATTCCAGGACATACCCTATGGGTAAGCCAAAGAACCTTGAGTTCTTTTCTTTTCCTTGGCTCGCTTCAGCGTCTTCTCTTTTCAATCCAAGAGCGTTGAGATCTGCCGCAATAGCTTTGTGTTCAGGTACAGGTACAGCCTGAAGATTGCCGATCTCGTATGCTTCTGCAAGTGTCTTCAGCAGTGCATTTGTTTGTTCCATGTTGGCATCGCTTGTGGGTGCTCCACCTGCGCTTTCTGCAAGTGCCCCTCCTGGAATGACAGGACTCCAGAACTGTTGGTGTGACAAATCTGATCCTGGCGCTGCTGATCCAGACGCACCTGGACTCGGCCCAGCTTGCACCGGAGGAATAGTTGATACCTCGGTCGAAACGACTTGAGGTCTTTCAACATCTTCCTCATCATGGTACAGATCATTCACTGTTGTGGAACTTTTCTTCTTCTTTGCATCTTGTGCACTATCAGGTTTACTAACCTGTCTCTTTGGAGCTTCTCCTCCAGTTGCAACCTCAGCTGCAACTTCCATGTCCTCTGGACCTGGGTCTCCACTGACCTTCACATCTTTTGAACCTTTGCCATCTTGTGGCTTTTCACCTTCAATTTTTTTGCTTCGCATCTTCCAATCTTTGTTTTCCTTCATCCGTTTCTGCAAGCTTCTTTCGAATTCTTTCTCTGCAGTGCGCATCGTGCGTAACAGCAGGTAGTCCCAACATAACAGTGTGACAGCCGGGACAACCTGGGGTGAAATCATCACTACCATCAGGCTTCTTCAAGTCTTTTCTTCTCACATAGTGATTTCTTGGTCCTGAATCCCTTGCAACAGGAGTCAGCTTCTCAGATGCTTCTGGAAGCTTTACCACCACTGTGGTGTCAACATCTTCTTTGTCTTTCAAGTTGGGTCTGAGCTTCTGAGCTTCCAAGGTGATCCCAACAACTTGTCAAAATTCTCTTTCTTCCACCTTTGCCCTTCAGGCGTTCTTTTCAAGCTGGTGCCTTTGTAGACTCCAGTCTCTGTCATGCAGAGCACATCTGCGTTCCCTCCATGGGTGCGCACGTATAGGCCCTCAAGCACTTTGGTTTCAAGGTCTCCGCCCTTGCGGTAAGTGGTCGAAACCACACTCTTTCACCGAACTGGACCATTGGCCTTTTCCACTTCCTACCCGTAAGTCTGGTGTACGGGGTTTTGCCATCATCACCGATCTTGAATCGGCTCAAGCAGAACGTGGCATGTCTTGACAGCCACAAGAGCAATGGGTGAGATGGTTCTATCTTACCCAATCTCTCTTCAAGCTCACTGAAAAGAGCTCTTGATTGCCGCTTTGTTTCTCTGACGGCTACCTCTGCAAGTCCATTGGCTTGCTTGTCTCCAGTAGGTCCGTCATTCAGGATAACTTCTATCCCTTGAACTTCAGCCTTGACCTTCTCTTTCAAAGCTTTGATGGAATTCTCATTGTCTGATTTCAGTACCAACCTTTGGTACCCTGTCTCCTTCAGACAGTTGATTAAGAAGTTGACTGCATAGTCATCAACTCCTTTCTGTGGGACTGCTGAAGCCCACACATGTTTGCTCTTGTTGTCTTTGACGTGAAGATTGGCAGTGTCTTTCTTTTCTTCACTGTACCAGAAACAGTCGATTGCAATTGTTGGCAGTGCGCCTTCCTCTTCCTCTGGATCCTTGTTGGACCCATGCCTGTGTAAGGTTGCGCGGGCTCGGACACAGTGTCCGCACCACGACCTATGCACGGCATGTGCGGTGGCTAGGTGCTCCTCAATTTCTTCTCTTGATGGATCCTTCCGTCCTCTTTTCACTTTAGGTCTTTCGACTTCCACACCGCCATCGCCACTTTCTTCGACTTCTTCAGCATCAATCTCTCTGGTCTTCTTCTCTCGCTTTCTTTCTACAAGGTAAGGTGCACGTGAAAGGTTTGAGTGAAGCCTTTAAGAAGGTTGCTGTCACAGCTCATGTGGCAGATGTGCACCGACCTCTTGCTGCTGGAAGCAGCATCAGCAAGCACAATCTGATTGCGCTGGATGAGAATGGCGGCATGTTGGTTCACAATAACACCCCTGCGTATGACCGCCTGCGCAAAGTCCTTGAAGAGGAACAGTTGAAAGAGGAAAAGAAAGGAAAAGGTGGAGAGTACTTTACACCTGTGCACCAGGAAAAGGGTGTGTACGTTTTCCGCCAGTGGGCTGAGAAGCCCAAGACCCCTTTTCAGTGAGCAACTCACCTGAGGCAGTCTTAAACCTTACCTCTTCACCTTTCACAGCTTCACCAAGCTGCTTTGCCATTTCACTTGGCATAACACTGGCTGCAGCACTGGCTGCAGCACCAGTGTCAAGGTTCCAGGTGACTACCCCATTGGTATCATGGGCCTCTCGGCCCAAACTGTTGAGGTCCTTTGCGCCTTTCTTAGTGTTCTTTCTTTTGCCTTCTTTGGTTTTGTCATTGTTCTTGTCCTTTCCCTTTCCTTTTCCTTCAGGGTTCCTGGCAGGACTTCTGGAGCGACGTCGCCATGGAGCATTAGCAATGTTGGATGGCAACGATCCAGGAGGCGTCTTGGGCTCAGGGATCCCATTGGGAGGAGCCTTTGCTGGGGCTAGTCGGCGTACCGAAGCAGTCACCGTCAAAGCCCCTTTTCCTTTTGGCACCTCTCCAGTCCCCTTTCCTTTGCTCTTTGCGCGCCTCATTTCCAGTTGCCTTCTAAGGGTCTCCTGGCTCTCTTTCATCCTTGCTTCCTTGTCTTCAGTCGTCTCTGATTTGGCAGCTGCTTTCCCACTTTTAGGGATAGCCTTCATCTTCTCTTCATAGGCTGCCATCTTCTTCTTGCGGAATTGTCAGAGGTTTCTGCGCCGGTTTCGCCACTATAGGCTTTGGATCGAGCCTTCGCCTTAGGCTTTTCTTTGGGCTCTTCAACTGGGGCCTCCTCAGCCGAAACAGCTGGAGGATTCCCCTCAGTCTCGCCCCTTTCTTGGCCTCTTTCTTACTTCTGCCCTTTCCTTTACTCTTTCCCTTTCTTGCTGCTCTTCTTTTCTCGCGCTTCCTTTCCTTGAACTTCTCTTTTCTTCTTGCGTACGCAGCGTCTGACCGTCCTGTCCTCTTGGCATCTTTGGGACGGTTGAGCAGCTCGAGCTCGTCCTCGCGAAGTTCCTCGCGAAAACCTTGGAGTTCGGCCTTGGTGAGTGCCCACGCACTCTTTTCTTAGCCGTCGCCTTTGCTCCATGAGCAACTCTCACGGAACCAGAGGAGGTTCCGGGTAACAGCACTTCTGTTTCCATTCCGGGGATGTCTACCTGCTCGGTGTCACCGTCTTGATAATCTCCCTCTGTTGCTGTTCCAGACCTAAACTCCTCCATCCACCGGTTCTCGAGCTCTTGTCTTTTAGCTGCGCGCTCAGCCGAAGTCTTCATGCGAAAGAGGGTGGCTCTTCGGGGCTTTTTCTCGTCAACCCACGCTATGCAGGGATGAGTTCCTGCCTCAATCGCCTTGTAGTAGCGCACGTCGTGGAAGCTTTTGTCCAACCTTATTGTAGCTTCCGTGAGCTTCACCGGTCGGTGTTGGTCGTTGTCCCGGATGTAGCTCTTGAGAACTCCAATTCTCTCCAAGACCACCTTTAGGTCTTTCTCTGCTTGCTCGTGACTTGCAGTGTCTTCGGCCGATTCGGCCTGTTGCTGCAACTCGTCACGCTTTTTTGCAGAGTCTTCCCAGCTCAAGGCTTTCTATCACCCTGCGGAACTTGAGCTGCCCACGGCGAGCTGTTCAGAAAGATTTTCTGGCTTCGTTTCTTCCTCTTCAGGTTCTCCAGGGTCTTCGGCAGGGCTAAGCTCTTGGGCAAGCGTCGTAGCGACCTCAACTGCTTCTTGGTCGCTCCCTCCTCGTTGTCAGCTTCAGCACCTGCCTCGACCTCCTTAAGGTCATCTTCACACTCGTAGAGACTTTCATCATCACTTATCTCTACCATGTTCCTGCGCTTCCTTTCTTCTTTTCTTCTGGCCCTTTCTTCGTTTCTTTTGGCCTTCTTTTCCTTCTTGTCTTTCTTGTCTTCTTCCTTTTGCCTTTGAGCTGCGAGCCTCTCACGAATCTTCTTGACCGACATGGTTGCAAAAGCACGAACCACGCTCTTCATCCTCTTCTGTCGGTCGTCGCAGCTGCTGCAGGCTTCGTCTTGGCCAGTCGAGGCCCTCAAGGTGTTCCTGTAAACGCGGACTGGGCCACACTTCCTCTAAGGCCACGTGAGGCTTCCTTAGCTGCCATAAGTCGCTGACGATACGTTGTTTCTGGACGCTCTCTCCCGTCAGTCTTCATCATCAGCTCCTTCTGCAGCAAGCCTATTAGCTCGGTCTTCCGCAAGGAATACTTCCGAGCTTGGGTGCTGTGACTTTGGCGGTTGCCGGGGCCGAAGCGGCCTTCGGCACCTCTGTTGCACCTCTTCCTTTTCCTTTTCCCTTTTCTTTTCCCATTCCTTTGATGGTTCTTGTAGGCGACCTTCCTCGTGTCTGCCTTTCTACTGCCGTTGGCAACATCATCCCGAAAGGAGCGAAAACTATCGGTTCTCCTTCAGGATCCTCCACAAACACTTCTTCAGTTTCTTCTTCTTCCGCCATGCTGGTCGCAAGGCGCCGCCTAAAAGCTTCTAAGAGCTCAGGGTTGGGGCCACTAATTACCCCGTCACTACTCTCTACCAAAACTACTCTTGAGCTCTCCGCTGCCGAAACTGGCTGCGGATTTGTCAGGCTCGGACTCTCACTTTCTCTCTCTTTTTAGAAACCCTGCGACTCTCACTCTCCTCTCTCTCTAAAGCTGCTAGCTGAAGAAACCCTGTTTCTGCTTCTGGCTCTTGCTTGGGTTCCTCTTCCTCATGCTCTGCTGTCTCAATGTTGTTTGCTCCTCTTGTCTTTCCTTTTCCTTTTCCTTTACCTCCTTTCTTTCCATTTCCTTTCTGTTTCTTTCCTCCTGTAGTGTTGCGCCAGCATTCATTGGCCCAATGGCCAGGCTTACCACAGATGTGGCAATTGCCTTTGTCTGTGTTCTTATTTCCTTTTCCTCCACTGCCTTTACCTTGTCCTTTGTTGTTCTTTCCTCCTTTACCTTTTCCTTTGCCCTTGGATCCTTTCTTTCCCTTTCCATCTTTTCCAAAGCTTCCAACATCCATGGGATCACCACCTGAGTGGTTGTTCCCTGACCCAATCTTGAGTTTGATCCCGACTCTTGTCGCAAGATACGAAGAGATTTCTTCGTAGACAGCTTCGAAAGTGTCGCATCTCTGTCGATTGAATTGCAAATGCTTCTCCAGTTCGACTGGGCAAATGCTTTCCACTATCGAGATCTTGATGTCATTAGGCAGTTCGTCTCTGCCTCCGGCACCTCGCCGGTCTTCGTATCTACGTACCTGTTCCATCCATTGTTCAAGGTACGAAGAGAGGTCAGCCAACTTTTGCCTCTCTGGGGTAAGAATGTGCTTTTAGAAGCGACTTCTTCCTTCCACCTGTTGCCGGGTCGTATCTCTTGGCTAGCTTTCGCCAACCTTCCAGGCCATTGCCTTTCAGGATGTTCCTGATGATGGAAAAGGGCTCATCTTCCAAGAGGTTTTGCAAGACTGCGTAAACCTGCGCCAACTTGTTTTCTAGGCCCTCTATCTCTCCTTGAGTACCCCCGGGTCCGAAAGCAGCCCGGGTCTGGGCCATACTAATTGGTGCTTCTTGTTCTTCCGCCCAAGCAAGGGCTCTCTCTAGCTCAGGAAACACAGAGAAAATAAAACTCTCGGTTTTCGTCTTCCATTGGATGTAGCTGCATTCATCTCCTTTCAACTTTTCTGGCTTTGCTACTCCTCTATTGTCTACTAGAGTCAATTCTTTTCCTCTGCTTCTAACCAGCTCTTCGGTCATCCTGGTTTGACCTTCCGCAATGGCAACTCTGTCATGTTGGCTCCTTGCTCGATCCTGCTCTCGAGCACTGATTCCCTTTGCCTGCTGATTTGCAGCTCTTGGGTAAGCTGATTGACTCTGTTGGTTAAACCTTGCATTTCAGTAAACGCTCTTTGAAAATCTTCAGCAGTGGGTGTTGCCATGACTGCAGGGATAGAGTCCCTCTACAGTCCAGGGAACTGGGCTCAAGATGCCCTGGATGGAGCCTAGAGCTCCGCTACCATGATCAAGAAACATGCTGAGACACTTTTAACACTTGAGCCAAATGCAACGGTCAACTGCACTTATGAGGGACGGATAATTTCATCAAAAATGGCACGCTCCCATATAAAACCAGGCCCTTGCTCAACCAAATCAAGCAACACTCGAGCCTGCTCCACCAACAGTATATCATCTGGTCCTGGGAGCCCAATGGCATAATTGACCTCTTGATCACAAAGCAACTTGGAGCTAAATCTTGCAATCTGCCGAAGACACATGCGCTGAAAAGACATGCCTGCAGAACGTAAAGCACGTTGCTCAAACTGCGTAGCAAGCACCCAGCCGCCTGCACCAAAGGAAAACTTGTTCAAAACAAGCGATCGCAACAAATCAGACTTTTCATCCTTGCAAAGCACAGGGTTGGGCAAAATGGCATGCCGCAACTGTTAGCAGACCGCATTGGCTGATTGCCTGCGCATCTCAATGTCTTTCAAGCAAGACCCCGTGTGATCCAGGATCCCACCCAGATGTGACTAACATTCAACTAAGCACAGCTCAGCCTGCTTTCCATTACGAAGGTTAACGACAACTGTGGGAACAGGGCCCGTTAAATATCGACTTTTGGCTTCCCTGAAGTGTTTACCGCAGAAAACGCCAATGGCAGCTGTCTTACCAGCCCCAAAGTTGAGTTCCACTCCGATGTCCCTGCTATTGGCTTCAACAATCCGGGTGGTAGCAACCAAGTTCGGAACAACCTCCAATGCATCATGTGCACGCACAAGCAGCGCAACATCATGTGCCCAACTCATTGGAACTGACATGCTGACCACATTTCTGCTGCAAACAGCAGCAAGCAGATTCTGCTCTTTCATCTCTGCAATGGTGGCGCGGAGCACTTTGGTCAAAGCAAACTGATAAAGCATGTCTGCAAGCGGAGTCCCAGGGATAGAGCCGCTATACGATAAACTGTGCAGGATCCGAGCAAACCGTAACTCAGCTCAAAGAAGGCAGAAATCCAGATGTCTCGAACCTAGGTGGCCAGAAAGGGCTCCTAGCCACCATCTGTACCTCGGAGTTTGCCCTCACGCTGAGCAAAAAGGTACTTTGGCAAACGAAGTTGAAGCTCGTCTTCCAGTCGAAATCTAAGTGCAGGAAAGCTTCATTGATGCGGTGCACACGTCCATGCATTGAGCGTATCTGTCACGCTATTTCCGAGAACAGCCAGCCAGCCGCCGCCACCCCGCCAACACGAAAAAAAAAAACAGCGTTTAGCGCTGAAGGCTGGGACAGCCCCGAGGCCCTGAATTACGCCGCTAGCAAACGCCACCTCGAGGGCAAACCAGGCAAGAAGCTTCCTGGAAACGCACTTCACTTCCCGCAGCGCTTCACCTTCAACCCGTGAACCTTAAGCAGCGCTGGGGGGGTTTCCATAAAAGGGCCCCCCAAGAAAGACCCCTATATGCTGTGGGCATTCTAGAGACTCCCCAAACATGGACCCTTAGCGCTTGAGATGAGGAAGGGAACTCATGGCGGAAGGCGCCCCTGTCATCACTGCTTTTAATACAATCTAACCCTGCGCGATCGCTGCCCTGAACCGAAAGAAGCAAGGGTCCCAATCGGTCCAAACACGTCGAAGAGATGAACAGCACGCTCCTTGGCAGTGCTCAAGTTGTTGAGCTGACGGTGATATCTCAACATTGCGGTCCATTCTGCTGTCTGGGAAGTGAGGAATGCCTTTGTCTTTCAGGTGCACAAGGATGCTGGCTCGCAACTGTTCGCGAAAAGGCCAAATAAGCTTCAGGGAAATTCTGACATCGTCTTCCAGCTTAGCTAGGGTCCAGATATGGGGAGGCTGGTGCAAAAACAAGTACTTCCCAAAACTACGAAAAACTACTAGAGACTACCATGGCAAAATCATGACATTGAGTGTCCAGAGGCTAGTTTCACGATGCTGAGGGAAACGCATTTGTGCTGCAGGGTTTGGGGTTCAGACGACCTTGTATAGTCTTGTTTGCGTGGTGCTGCAAGGGGAGGAAAGAAGAAATGTAATCCAGACTTGAAGTCGTTTGTAGCTTTCGGCAGTTTGTGAGCAGGTTTTGGAAGCTTTGATCGAGATTTTGGGAAGTTGTTCATAGTCTTTGGTTGCTTCTGGCAGTTTGTGCGGTAGCTTTTGGAAGTTTCGATCCATATTATGGACTTTTTGGAAGATCTTGGTGGTTTTAAACTTGTGGTAGATGTCGGTAGGTTTGGGTAGATTTTCGTGGACCCTGGTAGGTAGATAAACATACTATTAGGCAGGCGTCCACAGAGGGGACGGGATAACCTCAGTTTCTAGGGAGGTCTCATAGGAACGCCCATGTCAGACCATCAATGGGGATATTTCCCAGGACTTAGTACTTAGACCCCCCATTGGAACACCATAGAAGCTTAAACCCAGGCTGAAGCAGCAGAGAGCTCGGGGGGCAATCGGCTGCAAGCAGGAAGTATCACAGCATTGTATGAGCTACGGCTAAAACACGGCCAGCTAAACCAAAGGTTAAAGTGATGGATTTGCCTGGCCACACATGATCAAACTTAGGGTCTGAAATGGGACGCGGCTAAAGGTTGGCTTACCCCAGACCCTCACACTGAGAGGATGACTGAGGACAGGCGAGGGCGGTTGGTGCAGTTCGGGCGGTACGGGCCGGCTCGTGAAGGTTATGGCCTGTTTAGGTCAATATATCAGCAAATCTCTTGTAAGTTTGAATCGAAGGGGTTTCCGCTTGTGACATGTTGGGGTCAACAATAGTATACCAGTCTACACATACTGCTGCAGATGAAAAAGAGCAAGTTATTCGCAAGCGAATCATTTTTGTGAAGAAATGTGACGAAAAAATATTCCTGTATGCGCTATTTCCCTACCTTGCGAACTTTGTGATGTTCTCCATAATATGTTGCAATATATGTTGAAATATGATGCGAGCAAGCTCCTCTGTTGGTGGAGTGTTTGGGTAGTCACAGGTATAGGTTCAGGCAGTTTCTGGTAGTTACCGGAAAGTTCAAGCAGTTTCAAATCGTGTCAGGTTATTGTCGGATATTACGGGTAGTTTTCAAATAGCTTCAGGTAATTACGGATAAGATCAGGCAGTTTCAAGTAGTCTGTTCCAGTTGAGAGAACCCCTAGACCCCTAGTTCGAGACACCCCCCTGGCCAATTAAATTTCAACAAGATGTCATGCCCGTTGTCTCTGCACTGATTGTCCCTGGATTTGCGTAACTAGCTCGTGTGAAAATATGAGTCTCACGGGTTGCAGATGTATAAGCCAGCAAAATATCGCCCGAAATCTGTATGCCCCAAACTCCTGATAGACCCCCAACCTCCCGATCTCTGCCTGACCGTCAAATCTGAGCCAGGGCTAGAGTCTTCTCAGACGCAGGCACAGGTGTCTCCAGGATTCTCGGTAGACACGTGCGCGGCCCCCAAAACCGAAGCCTGAAAAAAACTTCCCAAGACGGCTCCAAGGGTCTGTTTCTCCGAGCAAGTTGAACAAAGCGTTGGCGAAGATACAACTACCGCCACGCCAGACCTTATCAGAAATTGTGATTCCCAGCTTTGAGCTTTCTGGGTGTGGGAATAGCTGGATGAATTTGAATATTTTTTGACAGTAATATCAAAAGCACGGCTTGTCATCTATCCCGACAACAAACCATCCTACTCCGATGCTCCGCGGCCACCTAGACATAATCCAAGCATACGGAAGATCTTGACCACGAAACATGAGAATGGGTTGCAACCATCACTTGCATCCAACTGCCTTTAGGCTTGAACCCTCTGCTAATCAGCATGGCCCAGAACCTTATCGCGCTCTAGCCACCATGGGCTGCGAGAGCAGGACACATCTGCGCTAGGTCTTTTGGCCGTTGTGCTAGGTGGCAGCAAGTGGGACTCACAGGAAAGCAAACGGCTGCTGAAATCATTCACTTTTTTCTGGTCACTGCCACAGCACGGATTTTCGCCAAAGACATTGAGGGCTATGGTGTGTTTTTCAAGAATGAGCGCTGCACGGCAAAAATCCTGTGCTTCGGGGATGCTTCAAGGTTGCATGCGTAGCAAGGATGGGCACAGTGGGATACCTGCCCCCCGGCCTAGGTTCCGCTGTCTACCATGGCCTCCAATGCAAACTGCATTGGGAAAACGTAATAGACTATTTCACTGAGATGGAGAGACGGAAAACTGCACATCGCCTACTTCACATATGAGGAGCAGGACCGGGAAAACGACAGGAGCAAGGAAC